CGGAACTGTTCGGCCGCCATATCTTTGCGCTCTTGAGACCAGTCATAGTGAGCGAGCAGTCGGTGCGCCAACGCAATGGCAGTCTTGGAGGGGTTCCGGAAGGCGAACGCGTATTCGGGCAACACTTTCAACGCCAAAGACCAGTCGCCCGACGAGCGCTCATCGCCGCAGAGATCACTCAACGGCCGCAACACCCCATCCATGGGTTGCTTCACTTTCAGCCACCGCTTATCGGTGTCTCTGATGGACGGGTAGTACGCAAACCGACCCGTCTGTTGGACCAGTTGTGACGATTGGCTCATTTGCGTCACCGACTGACTCAGGAATAGCTCCATATTTGTGGCGTAAAAGTCGTCTTCCAGTAGCGACTCGTCAGCCATCGATGGCAGCACTATATCGACCACAGCCTCGCTATCGACAGCCATGGCTTCGGGCTGTGGATCAGGTTCTTGTGGTTGTATTTCCTCTTTGGGCATCACTTGTGCCGCAGACTTGCCTTTTGAGGGCCTTTTGGCCGACTTTCGGGCCGTTTTGCGCGACATTTCCAGCTTCGGCTTAACACTGGTATCAGTGATCACGTGATTATCACCACTACTTCGGCGCTGGTCTCTGACGATGGCATTGACGGCGTCGACAATGCGATGAAAGCCGTCGCCTTCCGAGTCGTACGACTCGGTGTCTGAATGTCTGCCGAAGTATTTGAACTCTTCGTCGGACGACTGGTCTTCAGATGACTCTTCGTTGGCAACGAGTTGTGTCTCTATTAGCGGACATCGAGGGCCCAATCGGATAAAGCACTTCTTGAGGGCAATCACTTCCAGCCGATTGTCAACGTATTGTCTGTAGTAATGTATGTCTGGGTTATTGTCGTCGTCTTCGTGGTTGTGGTGATCATCGGATGACTGGCTGTCACTCATGTCTCAAACACGCACTCATAATACGAGTGATAGTATGGACTCAATCGGTGGTAACGATCACTGCCTCATGGGATCCGTTGATTGATTGTGCGGTGAATGGCCTCCGAAAACACGTAACAATCAAAACAAACGCAATGTTTGTGTGAAACACCTTTTGGCGCCACTTTTGGCAGTATGAGTGCTGTTCACAAATACTGTGCGCCAAAGTGGGAGAGCTGTTAGTAAATAACGTGTACTTAACGTGGGTTTTGATTGAAAACTTTTGAATACTGTATGACCTGGGTAGTTCTCAAACCAAATATTATTTTATTAAATTGTTGCTCAAATTGTTTATCAAATAACAATCCATTGAAAAGCAAACGATAAATAATTTAACTATATTTATATAGATTACACATAAAATAAAACTACATTAGTTTTTATTTGACTGTATTAAAAGTTACCTGGGTACTCTATACATTTACAGTACTGTATTTGTCAATTACAACTTGTAATTTACAAACATTTATATATGCCCGGGTGCTTTTAAATTTGTTTTTTATAATCCTCTGATTATTAGCCTTTTTATACACTTTTACACCTGTTTTGCACACTCTTTATACCGGTATTTATATTCAACTTTTAAAACACTTTTTAAACTTTAAGTTAAAACTAGATTTCAAATCACTTTTACTCCTCAAACACACTGTCAGTGCACTCGTAGTCCAACACTAATAACACGTATTTTGCAATCATTTCATTGATTTGTCTTTTGCTTTCAATAGACATCAATATTACCATCAGTTATGTCTAACCCATTGAGTGCAACCAATTCCTCGCCGGTTATGCAAAGAGCTATCGTTAAACTGGTATTCAATTCATTCACTCCTTATGTCTTGTCATATGTTTATGAAATATGTGTCCCAACGACAGGTGCTTTCGGGTGATTCCCTGATCATCAGACCTCGAGGTCAGCCCAAAGGAGGTCCACCGTCCGAGAAGCAGATCAACTTAGGTATGGGTTTGAGATAATGCTTAAGACATTGTGGTTAACACTTGTATGTCTTGACACACGTATAGCCCATTTGATTGCACCAAAAGTGGGCCGAAAACTAGCCGACGGGTCGACCACTAGTGATGAGTCACACGGATGGGAGTCCCGCGAGTTCTTGAGGACCAAACTGATGGGCAAAGAGATACAGTTCCGCACGGAGTATACGATCGCAATGGGTATGGGTTTGCCATTGTTTGCAGTGATTGTATGGATGACTGACTCGTCACTTGTGTCCACCACAGGGAACACCACTCGAGAGTTGGGTTTCCTCTTTCTGGGCGATGAGAACATCAACGATACGGTTGTGTCGGAAGGGATGGCAGAAGTGGTGCGCAGACAACAAGACGAAGACAACGCAGAGGTGTTGCGTCTCATAGGATTGGAAGAGTCGGCAAAAGCGGCCCAAAAGGGAAAGTGGGATAACGTGTGGACCAAACGGAAAGTGCTTTACGACGTGGAGGAGCCCCAGGAGTTGGTGAACGAGACGTTCCCCGGAATCGTAGAACACGTTCGCGACGGCAGTACTCATACGAGTGTATCGTCTGAACCGCAAGACTATCGCAAAGACTCTTTCGGCAGAATATGTGACGATTTGTGTGAAGTATTGTTGGCTTACCTTCCGCTCAAAGAGCGGTTCCGCTTTGAATGTGTGTCCACTCAATGGCAACGATGCGTATATACGACACAAACAGAGCTCACATATGATGACAAAATAGACGGGAAGTGCATTGAATGGGTGCTCAAGAAGTGCCAAAACATGACCAAAATTGGACAGTTGTATGGATTCATCAATAACTCAATGATTCAGTTAATTGTCAAACACTGCAATCATTTGAATGCAATTGTTATCGATGTCTATTACTTAAGTGTCGATACAATCACTCAGTTTTTCACAAAGTTTGCCACAAGTTTGCGATCAATTAAATTGTATAATTATAGCCAATACCACACCCGCAGGGAGTTTATCGACCAAAACCTCAAGATTTGCCACAATTTAAGACAACTTATGATTATTGGCAACAGTTTGTCGGTTGTATTGACTGATCCCACGAATGATGTATTGTTTCGCAGATTAAATACATTTTGGTTTCAATACATGAATGAAGACATGAATGGATTTGAATTGTTTGTCAAAAGATATGGCAATCAAATGAAATCAATTGATGCGACTATTTATGCGAATAGTAATGAGGCGATCACTATACTGATGACTGGTTTGTCACGAATGGCACAATTAAAACGTCTGAAACTCACGCTATATATTCATCCGGAGTTTGCATTAAGAAGTGAATCACTGAAAGGGTGCCAAAGTCTGATACATTTCACTCTCTTGTCCTATATTAATAACCCTGAATGTGGTGAACACTTTACACTCGACATCGACAAACATTTACCACACATTCAATACATCGAGTTCTGGGGCACGCATATCACGGATAATATGTTCAACTCATTGTCCAAACTCCCAAACGTGACAACTATTTCGTGCGATTTCTGCGACCAGATGTTCACTCATGAGGCCATCAATTATTTGGTCACCAATTGTCACAAACTTCGTACTATTTATATAAATAATAGACATTTTATTTAATTATATTCTCGTAACTCTGATGTTATCATTTTAACAAATTTTTCTTTAATTTAGTTTTAATTATTAATCAA